GGGGGGGTGTTACATGCTGCACCTGCAACAGGCTGCACAGGCCCCCTTTCAGGCCCGTGACGTTTTCAGGCCAAAAGCCTGAAAAGAAGGGCCTACAGGCCCCGTGTCGTTTCAGCTTGAAAGCCTGAAAACGAGGGCCTACAGGCCCTATGTCGTTTCAGGCTAAATCAGGGTCTTTCCGGCCTGAGTGTTTTCAGCCTAAAACTGAGGGCCATTTTCAGGCACCAGGGTTTCAGCACAGGCCATTTTGGGCCTGTTTTCAAGAAAACCCCTGGTTGAGCTTCAACGCCCGGGTCTGGCACGTTTCGGCATTGGCAAGAGCAGAATCCTGGACGGGCCAGCACTATATAGGACTGGCCCGCCCTGCAGGCAGGCATGTAGTTCCTAGGTACTTCCCAGGCACTTCATGTGAAGTTTAGGAGGCAGGAGGTAGTCCTCAGGATTCGGCAGCAGCACTCTGGAGGAGCGCTGCAGCTCGCAGTAGTCTTCAGCCCTGGGTGCTAGTAGCGTTAGCAGTAGTCTTCATTGCTGGGCGCTCTTAGGAGCTATAGTACTAGAGAGAGAGAGATTGGGCGGAGGCCAGGGATACTTACCTGCAGCGCCATAGCTCCAGCTTCGCCTTCGAGGTACCTGCAGCACAGCGCCATCTTCACAGGTTAGTACCTGGCATATGAGAGGGAGACAGTTCTTCTTCTTCCTCTTTTCAGTCCACCATCTCCCTCTCACCCTTTCCCTACCTGACTTCACTGCATCAGCAGACTTGGTGACATTTGGATCCAGACTCGATATTGGGCTTCAGACATTTTGACGAGGGATTACTTGGGACTTGTAACAAAGACTTGGTGTTGACGCATTCCCATCTCTCCCCCTCTTCTTCGTCTGTGCATGATTTGGACCTGGCGCATTCTTCCTGTGTGTAGCGCCAGGGACCCCCTTCACACTTTGTGATGAGGATGATGTATGTTTGGTCTGCGTTGCAACATTGGTTGGGCTAGTCATTGGTATTCTAGCATTCTGCTGCGCTGTCTTGCACTACGTGATAGAGGTCAGTCCCGGTCAGGTCAGGACTTGTATCGAAGTAGTCCACTGCGCTATGAAGCACCATTTTTGTATGTATCAGAACGTACACTGCTTGTTGAGATTTCACTTGCACTGCATTGTCCATTCAGTCCTTTTTATCACATTGCGGATCCTTGGTTTATTATGTACATCGCCCAACTGGGCATGTATCACTGAGTCTAGGGCCTGTACGGGCAATATCGGAGTCTGCAATGATGTTTCCCTCCGAAAGGGAGGAGGTACCGGTTGCTTGGAGGCCGCACGGCCTGGAAGTCACCGCCCAAGAGGCAAGCAGGCCGCTATGTCTCCAGGAGGAGCGAAGTGCTCCTCATTTGCAGCGTGGAAATTTTGAGTCACGAGGTTGGAGCGCTGGAGGAGCAGCGCTGGAGTGCAGCGCTGTGTGGGGAAGAGGAGCACCCAGCTCCCCACTGTGGCTATGGTGGTGGAGCTCGGGCTGGAGGAGGAGGAAGAAGAGTACTAAAAAGGGGAGCGCCAGGGGTACTTACCTGGCTATGGCGGACGCCATCTTCATCACCTTGGTGGGCGCTGCATCTGGAAGGCCCCCGTTGGGGTAGAGATACATCGTGAAGCTTCGAGACAGAGTCAGTCATGGCGGCCTGAGCAGGAGCAGCCATAGCTGCTTTGAGTTGTCGTTTGCACATCGGGGCAAGGCCCTAGCAGTCAGCCATAGGCTCGGCCTTCATGAAGAGGAAGGAGAAGGGTGGCCATGGCTATGGTGGACCTCATGTTGTGCCTGCAGTAGAACAGGGATTCGGACATTAATTCTGGTTCAGCCATTCAACATTATTATTATTATTATTATTTATTGTGGAATAAAGAGGGGAGGAGAAAAGGAGGAGGAGAGTGGTTGGTGAGAAGGGGATTATCATTGGTCTTTGCTGGGGTACATCTTCTTCTTCTTTCTTTCTTCTTCTTCTTTCCCTCTCTCTTCTCTCGAGTTCATTCATTTCTTTTGCAATTGGATGGCATTGTGCTTTCTCATGAATTTGAACTTCGAAATTGGCCAGGATCATAACAGGAAAGAAAAAAAAAAAAGAATGCTCCAATGTAATTGCTTTGTGGCGAACAGAGTACCCTGCTCAGTACAGATAAGGCCACCTACCTAGCTACGACATAAGGGCCTCGTGCAACAGGTAAATTCTGAGTTTAGCAGCAAACTCCTAATGCGAAGGCAACAAACTCGGAGACCAGCAGTTAAGCTTTTCTCTTGATCGACGGCCAAATGGAGGCAGCATGAGAACTAGGCGAGGCGCAGAATGTGCTGGGCAGTTCTGGGGATTCAAGTGTGCTGCCCCATTCTGCCCTATTGGGGATTCATGAAGCGCGCAATGGGGGAGTTACGGGTATTCAAGCAACAGAAATGGGGCAGGTCTTGGAATCCCCATTGGTTGGGTTGGGGGATGAGGGAGGCGAGTGCCATGGAAAGAAGGCATGGGAACGAGGTGAGTTGCAAAATGAGACAGGGCTTCAATCTGAAAGGGTTGAAAGATTTAGAGTTCACTCAGCAACGTCAATGGATTCATGCGCAGCTGCAGTACAGCCACGGTACCGTGTCCCATTTTCTTTTGTACCTTAGGGCCGAAGTCGAACTTTCTGGTATGTAGCATACAAAACAAAATAGAGATCTGATCTGATAAGACCGGTGGGAAAAAGTCAATAGGTAGGGAGTCGCCACGTGTCCAGTCACGATGCAACGGTAGCTCAGTCCCAGGGAAAGGCAATGACAGAGCAAATCTCTGTTTGCCGTGGCAGGACCTGGCAGAAGAGCTTGGGATCACGTGAGAGGCACAGGCGCAAACGGGGGGCCAACGTCCGGACCTCCTCTTCTGGCAGATGCCAAAGCACTGCTGCGTTGCTGGGCTCCAAAATCTTGGAACGTGAACAGTGCAGGCAAGAGAAGTAGTCAAACTGGGCACCATAGCTGTGAGCTTGCATAGAGGAGAGGGGAGAGAGAGAGAGAGAGAGAGAGAGAGAGAGAGAGAGAGAGAGAGAGAGAGAGAGAGAGAGAGAGAGAGAGAGAGAGAGAGGGAGAGCAGTGAGGACATTCAGAGAGTGATCTCAGGACCTGGACGAAGTTGTTAGTAGCAGTGGTAGAGAGAGAGAGAGCCAGAAGAGAGAGAGAAGTTTGCCTGTTGTCGTTGTGCTGGCAGCCATAGCCGTGATCTTCAGAAACCTGTGTCTATCATTTCAAGTTGCCTTTAAGTTGTGTGTGTGCTCGTATCGTGTGGAGCTTGCTGTCGCAACTTTGACAGTGATCTGCGGAAGCGGATTGTTGCAAACGGAAACACTGCAACACAACTACAACCGCAGGGCCACTACCGTCTTCCCCCAAATAGAGCGGATGGTGATTACAGCTGTGTTTGGGGCAACTTTCGATCTAGATACAGCCATAATGACCGTACATTCTATTTGGGTGGAGATGGTATGATACAACTATTAGAGGTCACCGCAAGGAAAACCATGACAATCCTGTGACCCGCAACAACTGCTTCCCCTCCCTGGCCCCCCCCCCTCCCCCCCCTCCATTCCAAACTTGGCAACATGAAAGACGTGAGTTTTGCCCAACTTCTACCTCCTGCTCTTGCTGCTGCTACTGGCATTGTGCGCATGGCCAATGCCATCAGCATCAGCATCAGCATCACCACCATGAATCCTGTAGTGAACAGGTATAACTGTCATCCTCGTGATCATCATCAAATCCTGTGACAAACAGGTGAGTGTGAAACCTGTGAGAGTGGGAAGGCGCTTTTTCCCCATGATGGTGATAGCAAATCTGTGGGAGGGCCCTTTTTCTTCCATATGCCTGGAATCTAGTGCACAGTTCCCTCCTGCTGAGGGAGGCCAGATGTGCAGGCTAGCAGCCTAGCTGTGATTCCGTCTCAAGGAAAGAAAGAAAGAAAGAAAAAAGAAAGAATGAAGAGAGGCCTCACCGGAAGCATTCTCCGTCCTGTGATCAAGGTCCTCTTGTGTGCACACTCGATGAGAATGATGGTTTGACGGATAACAGTTCGCCCTCGTCCTCCTGTATTCTGAACCCCTCCGCACATTACCAACAAGCATTCAGGGGGGGCGGGGGGAAAGATTTAATGATCAACAAGCACAACCGCGCGTCTTCGCCCACGTCAAACCGGGGTATGGAGAGATTATAAATCAGTGGTAGAACACTGAACAGGGAAAAAAAATAGAGTATATACTGCATTTCACAGTAACATCCAGTATTCGAATATACTTACGTTATTCAAGGCATACAGAACTGTTGGCTAAGAATCACAGCTATGGTACAAAGTGATTAATCCGGTCATGTGATTATGAGACATACCTGTTTCGCATCGTCGAGTGCTGCACCATTGAAACGAAATATGAAGCACATAAAACTTGATAAAAGTGGTTAGCACAACCATAATAACATCAACTATCAGGGTCGACCTGGAAAAATATGAAAGACACAAAAATGTGGAATTGAATAGCATGCAAGAAATCACCGGATCAAAGTTTTTTCTCAGAAGAAATCGAAAGGACCTACATCAGGACAGTAAGGTGGACATTCGGACAGCGTACTCCCCAGACTGCAACTAATAAATCGTCTCTTACTGCTATCTCAGAACAAGGTGAGCCTATCCAAGAAATAAACAACACGAATAGCTTAAATAAACAACTTCTCACTCCATGTCTGATATGTCGTTAGGTCTGTCCGCTCTCTTGGATGATCTGTAATCACAGGTAGGTTGGTTTGTGCTGATGGCAATGTTCTTGAAGTTGCC